GTGAATGCAAGTTGCGAAGGGCCTATCACACAATCATCAGTTCAAATCCTATTCAAGCGTGAATGCACGTAGAAGGTCCTTCTTTCCTCACAGCCACGCGCGGCGAGCGAAAAAGTGAAATTATGGCCCCTCCTCGCACTCCTCTCACGCGTGCTCTAGATCTACTATGACTCACAAGGAAAAAAAGAGACTGTTCACAGTCTAGCGTCTAGCATGCGCATAACCTGTTTATGAACCCACAGTACCATACCATTTGTCCAATCAAAGCTGGCTTGTCTCCACTCCCACTGCATTCTCTCAGTTACATCATAGGGATTCCTTGATGCACTGAAGTACCAGTACCACTCATTAATGGCCATTTGAAGGCGACCATGATAGAGAAGACGTACCTAAATACAAAGGTACACATTCCATACTATTTCCAGATAATAAACACCTTTAGATTCTACGACGAGGACGACCACGAGAATAAGATTTTCTCAGAAGTAGTGCTTATGCGTGAACCAGCGTCATTTTGGCGGGAAAACGTGATAGCGGCGTAATTCTACTACGAGTTTTAGCGAGAATGTCGTAGTGGCGGGTACAAGTTATCAAATGTTAGAAGTTGTCTCATTTTGCGATCGGGAGAGAGCTTAACCACCTTCAATAAAGATAACAGAGCTTACTTTTCTGGTGAAGCTTTTCGGTGTGGAATCATTACTAAATCTCGTCCTCCTCCTCAAATCTAAAGGTCTCTTAATATTCAATTCATATTCAGTTTATTTTCTCACAATATTTTAGCTAGTGCCAAGTTACAGCCTTTTAGCTAGTTGTTGACAGTTATAGTTATAAGTTTGAGGCTAGTGTACAGGTTCATGTCTTGAGACTCAGGCACGTGTGGTGAAGCCACAAATACCTACAGCAAAAGAGGCGAATCGCCATTTATATTGGGAATGAGTAGCCTTCCAAGCATGTTAGCGACACGAAGAACTAACAAATCTTGAGGGGGTGACATCAATCATTTAAAATTGCCTTAGCTCGTCTATGCGGAACTGCTACATACTTACAGGTTCTACTTGACATGCATAGTAATAACAAACAGATAAATAAACAAAAAATAGCACACTTAAGACCCTAAAGCTCTAAGGAAAACGACGTGGTCTTAACAACCGTTAAGATACCTTGTCAAAAAAGGGCAGATTCTTGCTTGGATCTCGGCTTGGAGAGCTCAATTTCTCTGAAATGATCACAATTTATGATTTATTTTTAACCACAATAATTAAATAAAGCATATAACCTTAGATCAGACCCAATTGAAGCAGCTTTCACACATTCTCTATAACTGGCTGCGCTAAAATTATTGCGCTTTCCAGGCGTCTCGCCTTGCCCGCCAGAATTTTATTTACCAAGCGAAACAAAAATAGACTCTGATCTCAGGTCATAAAACATGTCAACAGGCCAGGAAACTATAAAAAAGAACAACGATACTTACCAAATGCAGCAGAAACCATTCCTATGACAGGTTCAATGTCGACACCCCAGGCTATCTCCATAGCGTCCATATCTAAAGTTCAAATATTCAACAGTAAAAACAAAACTTAATTCTGATACAGACACGACTGAGTTGTACCACCGACCATTGGGGGCAAAGCAATAGCAATCTAGACTTGAAGGATTGCTGTAAAAATGAACAAATCTACAATGCTTGTTAAGCAATTTAAAACCGATTACTTACCAAATTTTAGGTCGTAAAAGTACTTAAGTGAACTTAAATTCCTTGAAATAGTCACATTGCTCCAGGGCTTGCCAACTTGCACTACCGCTTCTCGCTTACCTGTTGATTACACACACAGCTACAGTAAACCATCCAAGATACAACAAGCCTACGTGGCTAGCGCGTAAGAAATGCACTGTATAGTGCGCGAGATGAACGATCAGCGCGAGAGACAAGGAAACGCGCGGGGTACGAGGGACCTTCAGTACTCTGTTTGGATTTGGATTGGGCTGTCTGTTGTATTTAATATGTGCACCCCCAGGTTACAGACAGGTGGAATTCATTAGGGGAAAGCATAATTCTTCAGGAGAAAAGAAAAAACAGGGAATTCGTAAGGGGAAAACATTAACTTTTAAGGGAATTTTTCAGGGGCGAACATAGATTTCGTGGACTTTCAGGTAAAAAATCCTTTCATAAGACATCGTTCACGGGGAAATTCCATTTCTTATGGAAGTGTTCAGGGCAAATGAAACACAGCGAAATTAGTCCAGTGATATCAAGAAACCCCTGGTACTTTTGGATCTCCTTAAAGAGGTCAGTTTTACTCTCCAAACTTAAATGACATTCTATTCATCGCTTTTTGCTGAGAATAGGTAATGTCAGAGAGGCTAGGAATGTAACTCGCGTATTATCACAGATAAAAAACGCAACTCTAATGGCAGAAATTTCTGCCGTCTTTTTTCCACTTCCCAGCATACTTAAAAAACTTGCGAGACCCTCTGGAACTTAAGGATAATTATGCATGCTAAATTATGCTAATGAGTTCTAATGTATGCTACTGTGTAATTACGAAGGAAAAAATAAGATACTTGTCAGTTATACATAAAAAAACAGTGTTCACTAATTTTTACAAGACAGCAAACATACTTCTGTTGGCAGGTTTTTGCTCGGCACCAAGTAGGGTTCCCTTCATTTCAACAGACTCTGAGGTAAATACTGCCTGAGGAAAATCTCTAAAACGGCACTACAATAGAACAAAGAAAGGCATTTCATTAAATTATAGCCAACACAAATAGAAAGAAATCCATCACAGCGCACGAAACCATGAAATATTAGCACACACCTTAGCATATCACAATCAAATAAGTCAGTAGCAAACCTCATGTGAGTACAGTTTTCCTTGAATTGTACGACACCAAAGCGTTGTAAATTCGAGTCCTGAATGAGGGTATGGGCTAATGATATAACAGAATACAATAACTTAGAAGAAATAGAACAACTGTGCCAATAAAGTTTAAAATATTATGGGCAGTAAAAGCACGGTGATGAAAAACTGACAAACGTTGATTTCATGTCGTCGCTTTTTGCACCAAATTCTTAGTGTAAATCATCCAAACCTAAAGATCATTGGAAGAACGAACATATTACGGAAAAGTTTTACAGCTAGTTCAGTAATCAGCCTATAGTCTTAAACCACCCAGCTCGATCACAATACATGTATCGACACTCATTTTCTCCACACAGTCCTCTCTACTCGTAAGGATAATTTTTTGGTTAAAACTCAAGGCCTTTTTCCATTGGTGATCATTTCCTCAGTTCCATGTTTCATTCAGTAGTGCTGTTCTAAAAAGACATTTATGCTGGTCACTGTTCGGGCTTTACGAGTTTTGAAACTTTATGAACTCTCCTGCTCACAGCATCGATCCGCACAGCATTGCTTAAAGTCATTAAACAGGGAAAACCTTAACGACCTCTTAAGACTACGTGACCAACAGGTCACGAGGTCCTTAAAAAGGTTTAATTAAAGGAGCTGTGTCACGAAATAGAGCCAAATTAGGAAATTACAAAATGCCCGTTAAATTAAGAGAAACATAAAAATAACCGCTTAAAACTTCAAAGGAAGGTTAAAATCACATAACAGAAACAACAGATGCCACGGATGGGCAAAACTGAAGAAGATTGAAACGAATTGAAATTAGGGTCTTTGAAAACTGTTCAGCCTAATAGTTTTTCATAGTTGATCCTTGCTACTTGCAATTTCAAAAATAATGATCAGGAGACATATTTGTTTGTCTCGGATCTCTGATTTTGTCATTTACAAGTAATTTCTTTGCTTACTTTAAGTTCCATAGCGATTGAGGGCGAGTAATTGGCAAAATTAAACAAAATGAACTGGACTGCCGTGACACAGCCCCTTTAATTAAAGGCTTGTTTATGGTGGAAAGTGCACTTAGCTTATCCAGCTAGCTTACAGGCACTCCACTCAAATACTTACAAACAAATAATTCAAATACAACGTAACAGGATGAAAAACCCCAACTGGCAGGAGGCAACCAGTTGGTTATTTTACAAGCGTGGCCGAGGATTTGAACTCGGGACTACCGAGAACAAATCCAGCAAGTGGCCAGAGCGGGACTCGAACCCGGGACCGCCGGATTGCGAGACCAACGCGAAGACTACTCGCCACGCTGCCTGTCCTAGCTATCAGTTGAATGTAATTGCTGATGAAGTTCGAGTGATTCGGACAAAATGCTCATTCTTGACCGTGGAATTGAAATTTGAAAAATAAATTCTAACGTCAAAAGGTCTCAGATTTTTCAGTACTGTAGCTTTCGACTGCTGATGAAGACTGTGCGATACCATCGAAAGCTACGATAGAAAAAAATCTAAGACCTCTTGAGATTAGAATTTATTTTTCTAATTAGTCTGAGTTATGATACTTTTAATGTAAGAAAAACGAGTACCTATCACTGTCGAGTCGTTTCATAACATCGACAGCTTTTTGTCCATGATAAGAATCATCGGCCAGCACAAAAAGATCCAGGTCTTGGAATTCCCAAGTCAACAGCGAAGTTCTCATAGGAGTCTCGTTATACATTGCCTGTTACATGATATGAAGATTTCAAAAAGACAAAAAGAACATCATAAAAGAACAATTTGTACTTTTTTAGGTCAGTGATTAAAGTAATCCAGCCTAAGACGGCCGACTACTTAGATGACTACTACCCGTGACAAAATTATGGGGACATTGTCCTTAAATGGGGTAACTTCTGAGAACAAAACAATCCACAGCCCTCCCCCCCCCCCCCCCCCCCCCCCTAAAAATTTGCCATTTTTTCCTTTTTCTTCCGTCAGTTTGGGCAGCAGCCAAACTTTCCCGGGGGACGATGGGGGGGGGAAGGGTTTATTTCCCCCTTTTTAATTTGGGAAAAGCTAGAGACGGCCCTTAGGGGGAAATGTTTTCAATTTTTTTTTCTCCCAAAAATATGTTGGTTTTTTTTGGTTAGGGATTAAAATAAAGCAGCCCAAGAAGGCGGCACTCTTTAAAGGCTAATACCCCGGAAAAAAATAAGGGGGCATTTTCCTTAAAAGGGGGAACCTCTGAAAAAAAAACAAACCCCACCCCCCCCCCCCCCCCCCCACCCCCTCCATTCAAAGTTGGCATGTTTGCTGTTTTCTTCAGGTAGTTTGGGCAGCAGCACAACATTGCATGGAGACGATGGGGGAGGGAAAGCTTTATTTCCCCCTTTTTAAGTTGGCAAAACGTCAGAGAGGCCCTTTAGGGAGAATTGTTTCAACTTATTTTGTCGCCAATTGAAGGTTTGGAAGTAAAGAGGAACAGAACAAAACCAACCACGTTAATGTAAGCTTGACATTGCGTACAAAAATGTAGCCATGAACGACGAGTGATTGTGTCATTTATTGACTTATTGAATTTTGATAATACCGATAATGATAGCGACAGTCTTGACAGTGACGCAAAGCGCACCTCCAGTTAATTAAACTGACAAGATGGCCTAAAAGATTCAAGATGCATCAGTGTTGGCACTTTTAATTTTGATTCTGTTTTTTGTAAATAGTATAAATAGTAGTACTATAGTACAGTTGGCAAGTCTCCCGGCCCCCTCTCACCGAATCTTAGATCCGCCTCTGTTTGTACGTCTTTATTCCCGTAACGAACATTGAGGAAATACTCGTTTCCAAAGAGCTGCAAAAGTTTTGAAGTTTTTTTTTTAATCAAATCTCCAACTATCGTATATTCACAACTTAATTGTGAGAGGTACAGGTAAGTAACATCACTACACAAGATTACAAGATTATCTCGCCTGTTTAAGTCTAACTACAGCGTAAAAGGTGCTAACCATAAAACCACCGAGAAAAATTCTATGGATTACCTTGGAACGTTCAATGTATATTTGGGAATTTTTCTCCTCTAAGGATCGTTTAAGTGCCTCCTCCTTTTTCACTGAAAAACGCAAAATACACAGGGAACATAAATTAAAGAGGCGTTGAAAGAGGCGTCGGAAAATCCTGAAAACACTTCTTCAAAATGGAGGAGTATAGTTTTGTTACTGTCCCTCTAACCCGACGACTATTCTGGAACCAATACAAAAGTCTTAATAAAAACTCCCTAACTATCCCTCCCCATTGAAACCCAACGTTCGCACTTACTTGTTACTTAGTACAAATGTTGCGTTAAGGAAGGGGTGGGTGGGTGCTGGAAAGACCCACCTGTGAGGGAATTTCCTGGCTTCTTTCTAATTTCATCTAATTTAGCTTCCAGTAACTGCTGTCGTTCCTCCCACTGTTCCATCTCGTCTAGTAAAAGCTGAAAAACACAATGGAATACTTTTGAATTGATTGTTGCCTGCAATATAAACGCAAAAGCAAACGAACCGGGCCCTTACGTTCACAACCAGCACAGCAATTAAAATTGCGCGCTCTATCGTATGCAGCTTCAAAGTGTCACCATCAATCTACCTCTATCGAAATTACACATAACGTGGCCAGCCCTCATCAAACGCCTTCGTCGAGTCCGACAACCTTGACAGTGTTCATTTTCCATCCCCAAAACACTCCTTGTTTTAGTCATGCCGGCGACGTCTTTTTTTTTTTCTGTAAGAACAACTGCACATGTCGCTGTGCGGTGCCCTCAACATGTTTCCGATGTCGCACTAATTGTCCGGGCCACACAGACGTAAAGTTCACCTTTCTTTTGTCAACCAAGAAATACCTTAAAACAACAAATTACCAATATTTTCGGTAATAGCACCAGTTAAGTATAATCATACCGCGTAATTATCCCTTAGCTTCACTTCAAACGGATCGTCTTCTACCTCAAAAGACAGATTCTGTTGGTACAAAAGAATTCATCAAGTAATTTACAAAGAATGGCATTCACCACATCAAAGTGTTGTTAAAATTACGTCGAGGACACCTCAAAATCAAACACTCTTGCAAACGCGGTTAGTTTCTCTTAATTAATATAACAAATAATTAAAAACCAAACCAGCGTTATTTAGAGAGGGTGTCATTTGACAGTTCCAAGAAATAATCATGAGCTCAAGCAAAGGCATTTTTGAGCAACGCACGTCAACCGGTTGCCTGAGTCGCAGACCCTCTAAACCTTTAGGGCCGAGTTGTTCAAAGCTGGGTTAAGATAACCCAGGGTTAGCGCGAGATTTGAATTCATATTTGAAAGCTTAAAACGCATTTCAGTTGTAATTCTTTTTGTCTACAAGTTGATGATTCGAAGCTCTAAAAATAACAGAGCAAATTATGCGAGAAAATGTTTTTGAACACAAGAAAAAGAAACCCGGGTTAAATTTAACCCCAGGTTAAGCGCTAGTCGGCCTTCGAACAACTGGGTCCTGGACTATATTAATAGTCTAGACGAGTGGGTGGGCCGGCTGCAACGCAGGCTAGTCAACCGGAAGAAGGTCCTTTTGCCTTTCTATATGCCTTGACGCTACAGAATTAGTCCAAATGTGTATTGCTAAGTGTCTCTACTCGTATAGAGACGATTTGCCTGAAAATTTGGGCAAAACTACTGCCCAAGAAGGAAAAAAAAAGTCCACTTCCAGTTGACGTGCATCGCTCAAAAACGTCTTTTCTCAAGCTACCAAATAATCCTGTGCCCCTCTTAGAGTCCCTAACTATGACCAAGAAAAAAACCTCACAGCGCAAGGGAGAAAATCAACAACAACTCAACCCACATATAGCGTCGACCCCGGCAATCAAACCCAGGCCACATTGGAGGGAGGCGAGTGCTCTTTAACTGCATTTACATTGCTTCCCTAAAAGGTGTGGCCTGGGTTCGAGTCCCGAGGTCAACGATAATTGATTTTGTTCTTTGTTCCGCCGTTTCTCAGGGAGAATTATAACATATAATACGCTACAAGCAAAACTGAGCTATACATGAAACTAGACTTTTGACGAAATTTAAAGTCCTAACAAGTTTAACCAATGTCCATCAAATATGTGACGTGGTCTTCGTATTTCAGGATACGAGAAAATGTCAAAGAAGCCGAATAGAGGTAACGAGTTGGGGAATTTATTTTCATTTGCAGAAGAATACTTAATAGACCCATCCCTCATTCCTGTGAACAAAGGTATGGGGCTTGGGGGGTGACAAAATTCACCGATTTGTATGAAACTGTCTGCACAAGCCTCAACCTTATTTCACTGTGTGCTCACCGGAATGGAATGCGGCAAAGGTCTTTAGGGCGGAACACACCAGGCAACAAGTTGCAGCAACACGTTGCGGCGACAAGTCACAGCTACAAGTTGCTTTGTGTGTACGGGAGAATTTTTTTGTGAAAGTCTCTGTCTCCGAAACATAATTTTGTCGCCACAACAAGTCGCACAAAATCAAATCAGACTGAATTTCTGCGACTCCTTGCGGCGACAAAACTCTGTTGCTGAGACAAAGATTTCCACAAAAATTCACTAGAACGCGCAAATTGTTGCAGCAACTTATCGCACGACCTGTACACACAAAGCGATTTTGTCGCCGCGACCAGTTGCAGCGACATGTCGCCTAGTGTGTTCGACCTTATAGGTTATGAAATTCTTTATTTACACGCTATTGATTCAACGCACTTGAAAACGAAGCCACAAATCCGTAGGGAGGGGCTCTGAAGATGAGGCATCCTTGGGTTTTTTATGAAGTGATTGTAACATCTTGAAAACATTGACCAGCTGAAAGGAAAGCAAGACATTTTTTATGAAGGACACGTTTATTAGACATTTGAGGTTGCGCGGAGACTGGGAAGGTGTTGTGTGCAATTGTACAGTGAGGCTGTTTTGGGGACGCTGTCGCTTCTTTTACGGCTATTCCGAGGTTCCGCAGGACACTCACCAGGTACATGGGAAAGCCGGAAATTCCGGTTGGGAAATCAAACGGTTCGCGCCCTTCCACAGACCTTTGTCACGTGGCGACCACTTTGTCTCAAGAGTTTTAAAGAGCTTTGTTTAAACCCGGCTAGCCTCGTTCTCTCTACGAGGCTAGCCGGGCATAAATAAAGCTTTTTAAATCTCTTGAGACAAAATGGCAGCCACGTGACAAAGGTCTATTTGTGAAGCTTCAGAAAATATGGGTTGTGATTTGAGGTGATGCAATTTTTCTACTACTTTTAGTCTGTTCAGCTGATCTAAATTTACTTTGTGGCGGGTGATTCTCCCACCATGTCAAATTTCATAGTTTTATGTTTATGTGCAGATTTCCACCCGGGTGGTTTCTGTAAATGGTAAGCACCTTTGGGCACAAATGTGTCCCAAAAAGTTCACTACAACACAATATTGACCCAGTCTCAACAACAACCTCAAAATGGCTAACACTTTCTTAAAGTTCGACCGTTGAGCCTTACCTAACGAACACCTTTTTTTACGGACATCATTTCTTACGTTCATAACAAACGTCAATCCCTTTACCTGACAATAACCGCTTTCGTTAACCCTCTCACTCCTAGAACACGTTGTGGCTTGCCTAGTCCCTAGGCCTCATTATTCCGCGTGGTCAATTCGTTTCGGGTCACGTGGTCCAAGCGAACCCTCTTCGGAAACGTCACCGAAATGCATAAACCGAGAACGCCTGGGAAAACGCCGTACAGGGACTAGGAAACGTCGTGGCCAGATTATTTGTCACTCAAACGTTTATATCTGTGGATGAAATCCCATGATGTCACCAGACAACGCCACTTGGTACTGTTTATTTCTTAGGATTTTATCCAACGAAAGTTGATTTTCTTTTTTGCGGTGGGGGGTGGGGGGGGGGGCGTTACGGTACAAGGGTTGAGGTTACACTATGTTGGTTTACATCTCTCTTCTTATATCCGCAACACGGCCGTTTACATCGCTGCGGATTACAGAGGCCTAGGAGTACAGGTATAAGGGGTGAGGGGGTGTGTGGTCGTTGTTTTTAAATTATTTATGTAAGTTAATATTTAATCGTTATGATTGTGATTGACGAGTATAAGATTGGTTTTTGTTTTTTTTTTTTTTTTTTTTTAGTTTTGGGGGTGGGGTTATTTGTGGGGGGGGTGGTGGGGGGGGGGGGGGGTGGGGGGGTGCTACAGTGAAAGGGTTGAGGTTACACTATATTTGCTTACAAGTATCTTCTTATGTTCCGAACAGCGCTGTTTACATCGCTGCTGATTTTGCTTTTTACTTCTACCAATTTTGAAACGTTTCTTTACTGACGAACAAGAACGATTATATAATTGACCACTCCAGAAAATATCATAACATACCATAATGCTCTTTGTTTGTCACCCCCAAATTTTGCATAAGCATTGTTTTCAGTTTTTTCTTGGGGCCATTTTAACTCCCAACAGAAATTGAAGACAATGCTTATGCAAAATTTTGGGGTGACAAACAAAGAGCATTATGGTATGTTAGGGTATTTTCTGGAGTGGTCAATTACACTCACCTCATCTCTTGAGGCAGCAAAGTTGAACTCGAAGGGGAAAAAGATTCCAGTTGTTTCCACTTCAACAACCCTGTTTAAAAGTTATATTTCTTGTCAGAAAAAAGCTCATTTGACCTTTCCAAAACATGACAAGTCTATTCCAGCTTCACCATTCGGAAGCCACTGTAAACAAGGACGGTCAGAAGCGTAGCTACACTTGACTTAACTTGACTTATTAAATAGCTGGCTCCGTGAGCGAGCGAGATGTAGCAAATCTTTTTTTGATTGGCTACCGGAGCGGACTAGCCTCCGCCACGGACCAAACGTAACTCTGGTTAAGTCTGTCTGTGAAACAGCGCCGCAATCCATGCTCTGAGCCTCCATCTGTGTACTGGAATTTGGGTATGCACCATGAATGGCCTGCAGTGCCGGATCCAAACCTTGAGATAAGGGGGAGGTCCGGTCATCTAGACTTTTAGATAAGCAAGGGGCCGGGTCTCCCCAAAAATTTTTTTCGGCCCTTCGGACCTAAGTTTGATCCAAAAATAAGGGGGGAGGGCCGGCACCGGGCCCCTCCCCTGGATCCGCCACTGGCCTGTTGGAAAAGCCATTGTCGATTTACCAACCAGGCTCAAAGGAAATTCGAAAAGCACTACCCAGTCCGTAGGAGGCCCAGAACAAGGATCTCGGCGCTGCTTCGCAGGCGTTAATAGCCGCGGTTTGGTTACGTCTGTAACGCTGCCTAGAGCAGACTACATAGGCCTATCTTTCACCCTCGAGAACTTCCCTGATAACCATTTATCTTGCCCTCACAGTTGGTCAATAACCTTTAATGTAACGCCATTAAAGGCGTACCCTACAATGAGCTGACAAATGCCTTTTCCTCTAGCACTAACCATGTAGTATTGCTCGGCGTTTCCAGCGTTTTGAGTTGTCGTCTCACTTTAAGAACTTCTTCAACCTCTGGCAGTCTCTTCAGGAAAATTGCCTTTTGACGAAAAAAGAATACAGTGACACAGTACGAAAAGAAGACCATATTAAATAAACAAAACATTCTAGGGTTGAAAGGGATGAAAAAAGGGTGAAAAGGCTGAAATGCTGGCTAACATTGGTGGTGTTCACCGTTGATGGGTTTTTCTTTACATTGTTCAAAATACTAAGGTACTTCTAGGATTTATAGCTCGAGACGAAGCAATCGATACATGCAATATAACCAAACACGTAAAATGTTTTTGACCATGCCACGTGGCTTCATGAATGTAAGATGGTAGGGAAACTAAGATCTTCCACATAGAATGAAACGTTAAAATTGCGTTTAAGGAGATTGAATTTCCTTTTAATAAGATATCACGAACACAAACTATTTATCTTTTCATCATTGCGTCGTCTTCATCCTCAATATCAATAAAGATCTGCACAATCATTTTGTGGCCAAGAAGTTGGTGGTTGATTCGGAATACGTATGAATCTTAAAAATACACCCACCTCAAATTTGAATATTGATCTCTTGTCAAAAAGAAGACCAGCGTATTCTGATTTTGCATCAAAACAGTTGTCTTGCAAAGACAGGATGCAGTTTTTGCTCTCTACTCCAAAACTAGAAGATAAATTACAAATCGGCTAGAAATTTAAAAGCTTGCTGTATGTTTTTGAATACAATGATTTCTATTTAGTATAAATAGCTTTTACTTTATTCTCCACTATGTAACACTTTGATCAATGTGCCAGGGCACCCAGGGTGTTAAGTAATACTTTGACCAAACAAGGAGGTCCTTCAACAAAGATAGACGATTCATCGAAGGGAGTGGTGAGTGGCGCTCATAGAGTCTTTTCCTTTAAAGAAACGAAACTCATTTTTTCGAGATAAAGCACATAAAGAAACTGTAAGTCCATGGAGATATAGGCAACTAACACTGTAGAAACAAAAAACGCACTGTTCTCCTATGATGATAGCAGTGTCCACATATTGAAAAAAGAGAGGACGAGGAGGCTTTCTTTTTATATCCTTGCAAGTAAAGAAAACTGAGGGAAGAAAATGTGTCACTAATAGAAGGGGGAGGGACTGGTTAGTTTGGCAAAGCAGGAGCTGCTTATTTGGAGGAAGGCATTGGCTGGTACGCGGGGGTTTATTCGAGGACATAAGGTGTGCCATTTGCTGTTAGGAATACACCACTTCACAAACTACTTAAAGAATGAGCACAACTTTCCGGGCAAAGATTTCTGGGGTCGGTTGGGTGGCTTAAGCGAGACTTCTAATTGATCAATGGCCGGGTCTCCGATGGCAGCCTTAACCCCAACAATTGCTCACCTCATCCGCCCAAAAGATCCTAGGAATACTTGAGCCAAAAGTTTGTACACATGCTTCCTCTAGTTTTGCATTGACAGAAAAATTATCATTCATTTTTTGTTATTAACATACCTCGTCTTGGGTGACGTTTGCATGTGAAGTTTAAACCAAGAAATTTCGCAAGCAAAACACAAAGGTTTTTCTTTTTCCTTGGAGGAAAAATCGTTGTCTGCTCTCGTTGATTGAGAGGCCTTTTTCATCATAGCTGCAAAAAAGCAGATTAGTTGTCGCATTAATGGGAGAACAACGGCAGCATTACTGACACTGGAAACGCATTTAAAAGCAACAAACCGTGGTGATTGAACAGTTATTTTAATTTTCCATTCACTGGTCACTTCGTGAAATATTGTCGAGAATAAACATTAAAACTTAAAAGACACCCCTGCCTCCCACATACTACGGCTACTGAATGTCTGTGAGTGTGAATTCTGTCATGAAAAACGTTCCCCATTGTTTAAATTATTAAAAATATGATCATATCGTAATCCAGACTGTTGCCCACCTTGAAGCTCAGCGCCATCTTGAGTGGCTTCTTGTATTCTCTCATGAAGAGCCATATGCAGAGTGGGGTCCCAGTTGACTAAGATCTCTTTGACCGTCATCGAGTATGGCTTTGTCACAAAAAGAAACATTTTAGTGTCTTACGCACTTTCGTTCGATAAAGAGGGTTAGATGTAGTGGCGGATCCAGGGCAGGGGCCCGCCCGGCCCCCCCCCCCCCCCCTATCATCGGCACACGAACCGCACCCGGTCCAAAACAAAAACTCAAACGTACCACCCACACCCACGCGCCCACAATCCAAAACCAACCCGACCCCCAACCACCGACCTCTCCACACCTCCAGCCCACTCACACACCTACACGCAGCACTCACAACCCCCCCCCCCCCCCCCCCTATCTGAAGGTGTGGATCCGCCACTGAGATGTACACAGAATGACACAGAATATCATTGAGTGCACGAGTGCATGATTGTTGTATTAGAATTATTAGATAGAAGTATTCTAAATGGTTATGGTTTCATTTTGTTAGAACAACCAGGATAGAATAAAATGACCACTGCACCTTATTCTCAGAAACGACAGGTAATGGAAAAAAAGAATGATGTGTTGACTTGGTTGGCCAAGAGTGAAGACGTAAGCACATGCTCAAATGAATATCACTGCCGCTAAAACGATAAAGCAAGCTCAGCTTTGCGATAATGACAATTTCAACGGTTATAATAATTGTCAAAGTCTCGTTTACCAGAAGTCGAACACTGGCATATTAAACAACGTTTGAAGCAAAGATAGGCTTTTGGGGAGGCAGTTTTAGTAGCGCGTTGCAAAAACAAGGCTCTGAAACTGTCCTTTTAAATAAAACACGCTTTTCTTCAACTACCGGCAAGCTTTCGATTTTTTTAATGCTGGGCAATATGTTCGTACGATCTCTTCATTTGATTCCATAAATGTTGTACGAATGTCGGGATTAAATGCTAGATAGAACCGTTCAAACGGGCCTCAAGCGCTTACCACTAGTCATGTAAGTAGCGTACCTTATACGCGGGACGGGACAAGGTGAGAACAGGAATGCTGATTACATCATTTTTCAGTTCGGAAGAAACGACACATCTGTATGGCGCCTGAAAATAAAACAAGAAGGAATCAATTAATGGAAGGACATGTATTCTATTATTGCAGTTCTCCCAATTCTTCTGTTAATAAACGGCGACGAATATGCTTATCACTAGCTCTGGATAGAACTGAGTTGTTGTTGTTGTTGTTGTTGTTGTTGTTGTTGTTGTTTTTAATAGCCATACTGGTTTCACAAGAACGGAGAACTAAATGACTTGGTGATACACGTGATTGACATAAGAGAATTCACTACCTACCTTGAATCATTTAACTTTAAAAATTTTAATTTTAAAAAGGAAGACAATGAAAGACTGGAAAGAGCAAAAAGCCTCCTATATGAAAGGCAAGCTGAATCAGTTCTGAATGAACGGCTTCTGAGATAGCCTTCCAGACAGCCGTAACGCTGCGTGACCAGACAAAACGGCTACGTGGGAGACTACTTCTAAGAGTAAAAGAGTCTAAGGTCCAGTCCACACGAATCCGGATAAAAAATATGCGGTTTCAAAAACGTGCGGATTCGTGTGAACATGGCCTTAAACCTCTAAGGTCCCGGAAAAGAATATGCTGTTTTAAAAATGTCCGGATTCGTGTGAACAGGGCCTTAAACATCTAAGGTCCCGGATAAAGAATATGCGTTTTCAAAAATAAGCGGATTCGTGTGGGCATGACCTAAAAGACATTACTGTAGTACCTTTTGCAGTTCCAGCAGTCGGCAGAGTTTCATTCCACAGAGTTCACTCTTTAATGACTGGTCAGGGACAGATGTTGTTGTAACTACTGCCACGTCAACTCTTGTCATAAAGGAATCAACTCCTCCTGTACAACACAAGTTAACATAGTTTAAGAAAATGCTATCGGTTTGTTGCTGCATATAATAGCATCATAAACAGAGTAAATGGTAACGAATGCTGACCCTCCAGTGTTCCAAGATAAAACAGGTTGATGCCAGCTACTCTGCAATCCATGTCCAAAGCTGAAAAAATATAAAAGGCCAGAGAGAAAACAAAAGATTGAACGGAAAGAATAACAAATATTGCAGACTTTGCGATATGTAACTGCTAGTTGAAATGATGGTATTTGCATGTAGTCGTATTTCTTGTTTCAGAAACATGAGCACATCACAGAAGTGTTGCAGAATACTAGTTCACATTTTTTACCTTGTTCATTATTCACTTAAAGCTTGACGGGGCGTTGTCTAAGCCAAAGGACACAACATTAAAAAACCACGCCTTCTTTAAGAGCTCAGTGATTCAATTTGGCTAATATCATCACTCCAGAAAATGTTCCCTTGCTAAAGGTGTTGCCAAAGCAGAACACGAAATTTGAGCAGAAAAGTAACTGTAGACTGTGTGTGTACAGTGTACATACCGAAACTACTGCCAACATCATTCTTTTCCTCTGACGACGTTTCTGCAGATTTGAATTTCTTCAATGCCCAGACAGGCAACCACTTAAGCAAGAATCTACACACATCATGAGACCATTCAATAACCACTGAGGTTGCTTCAATAGTCAGCTTCACATCGGGTTCCTCAGTATCCGCAAGGACTTCTGTAGTACACTAAAGGAGAACAACATTGCATGATAATTGGATTCCTCTATTTGCAGGTGGAGATAGAAAAACGTTGTGCATTGAGAAAGCTGATCACAGTCTTAACACCTCTCCAAACGCAGGTAAATGCAATTTAACAGCATTTGCTATCCATGAGTTTCTACACAGCTTAGTGGAAAGAAGGCCCACCCAATGTTTGGGAATTTAAGGTTCACCTCCCATCGGGAACTCAAGATTTCTTCCTAGTTTGTAGCACGCTAGTGGCATGACCATAACTACATCGTTCTCAAATAAAATAACACTTCATTATTTTCCTGTTAGCAGAGGCCTCTTTTCCTAGTATTCGCCAAATACCAGGGGCAAAAAAGGCCTCTTCTAGCCGGAAACTGCATTATACTATTCTGCCAAGAAATCAAGCCAATCAAGAAATGTATATGAAGATAACACAAAAGCATCTACAGATACACCAGTCATCATCTCACTCTTTCCAATGAACACATCCTTCGTTGTGACAAAAATGCAACAGTTTAGATCTAACCTATCGTTGAAATCTTCTTACGTTCACATTGCAGCTTCCAAGTGTTAGCACTCTACCCCAGACATGTCTTGATGTACTTGGTGGGATGGAGAAATAATCATTTGAAGTACTGGATACGACACCAGAGGTAAGACCGTCTGTTAACTGGCTGTGGCTGGTATCCAAGTACACATATGCGTTTTCTACCCTTACTCTGCAACTGCAGGTGAAGAATCACAAAAACTTTAAGGAAGGTTTGTAGTACATGTAACTGGTGGAAATTATTGTAACTCAGCAACTGCCTGCATATTTTGTCCACTAGAGATAACGTATCTCATCGCATGACTTATTCTCACAAATTGCTCCCATCATCAAGCCGTTGTGATCCTACAGCCGGACTCACTGAGAACTGTTAGGAAAGGTTCTTGAATCCGGCCCCAGATAGCTAGAATGTTCATTTAGATCACATATGCCTTATATAACTCAAAGTTTACGAGGGCATGACGATTCTCTCTTCTCCCGATAACAGAAATAAATTTCCTCACACCTGTTAATCATAATCATACACAGTCTAACAATACTTATATCAACGGTTACATATAGTCAACAGAAACTGGTGTACCTTAGATATCTTCCTGAGTTGAACTGCTTTATATCTGTAAAGAGGGTAGATAATACAAGCAATAAGTTATCACCTCTTAATATTACACAGTTCTCTCACTAAGTATGTGCGCTGTGATTGGTCAATATTGTGGGCTGTATGCTACTTGCACAGTCTGCTAAATTTGACAGTTTCCTTTCCTGCACACCCGATTAACCTCAGAGATAGACTACAGTTGACTATCTTAATATCTTGGTTTTAAGGCCATACTCTAAGTAAAGATCCCCGTTTTTTGTCAGTTGAATTAAAGTCCAAGTGCGGATGGGAAAAACCTTAGTAAATAACTTATTGTATGGATCGCAAAGTCCGTCAGTAAGAAGTATTTACAGTAACTTTTGAGGTCTACGCTGTACATTTCAGACCAAACAGGACTTGTTTTGTTCACGTTGATAGTTTCCTTATTTCAAAACTGCTATTTTGAACCCACAGACATAAGTACTCAAAATTCCCTTACTTTTCCATGACAAAAATAATATCTCCCTGTCCAAATAAATGGGCAAAACAATGTAAGATACAGAAAGGTCTCCAGCCTCCCCTTGCAGCCATTTTTTCCATTTTGTTATCCCTGTTTCGTGAATGTAAAGTTTTTTGTACTTTGAAAGTGAACATTCGCCTCCTTGAGATCAAAGTAATCTGCATCAATTTTCGCTGCCTTTTGTGCAAAATTTTAAAAAGGTGCCAACGACATATAGAATTTTAGGAGGAATTTCTATTTTTTCACTGACCATTTTCTGTCCTGTGGCAACGATGTATTATAACAACTTTTGAATCTGTGAACGAAATCCTGTGGTACGACCATTTCGGTGGAACTATATTGGTAGGATGTTCACATGGTGCTACTCACTGTTTCCAGTTTTTCACACAAATTGAAATAAGAAGAGTACACTTGCTTACCTTCTGAAGACATTTTAACATTGAGTTTGAGAGAAACAAGCACTGCATGGCACAGAGGCTGATCATTTGGACGTGGACTGGCAATGAACATACGTGAAAAGCAGTCAGTCACTTCAACGGATCCTGTTATCTCCAGCTCAGCTGGGAGATTTGATAAAATCCCTCTCTTGGGCCTGCAAATAAATAACAATTATCCACTGAATATAATGCATAAATACAATGTACATGTAATTGCAAACTTCCAGATCCTGGTAATCATGACTGTATGTCAAGGCCCATTTGATCCTTGAAAATCTACCATAGGGTAGCATCGGGGAAACCGGTCGTTTCAATACAAGTCGTTTCGATACAAACTCAAGCAGTGAAATTGCACAATATTTTGTTTACCTCAAGTATAGTTTGCGAGTGAACAAGAAAAACATTTTGGGTGAATATCAACGCTTTCAGAATTAATTTTACAATGTAAATTACTACTATTTTTCCTATCTAAGAGATTTAGCTGAACTTTGTCAGGGTATTTCGTAAGCACAAAAAGCATTAGCATACCAGTCATAAAAAGTCATCAGTCGTCCGTTTGCATGTACAGTAGCTTTGCGCTTTCCTTGACTTGGTACAGTATTATACTCCTCTTCCCGTTTTCAGGCTTTTTCTTTACAACTTATTACAGACAAATGTTTTGTTAGATAAGAATGGTCTTGGTCTATAACCATAAGAATGGTTTTGTTAGATAAGAACGGTCTTGACTTAGACCCTACATGTATTTGGAATGATTAGACAAAAAGCCAAAAGAAAGTTCCTAGAGCCTTTTTTGCTGGGCCCTTTCTTTGTCCCCAGTCACTTAACATATCATTGCAAATTCATTCCCTCTATTATTATATTCAACTGATTTTTTTTTCATCAATTTCATCTGGAAACATTCCAACAGTACTTACCCTTTCTTGAGACTCCGCTCCCCTGTAGTATCTGATATACTTAGGTCTTTTCTCCATGACTTGAAATATTCCAGCCAATATGTGAAGTCTTCCTGGACATGAGCATAACCAACTGATTCAATGTACAAAGTGGAGGCCAGTACAACGGTGTCATAATGACAGGAGAGCTATCACGTAGAAAACATAAGACAAACAGAAGAACATGTCACAAGGATATATTTTTTACATTTTAATTTTGAATTCAATAGTTTTATGTAGTGTAGAGTGGCTATTTTACAATACCTTTGATTCAATTCGAAGTCTTTGCAATTCACACAATCGGAAACATTTCATGTTTTTAATTGCCATTCCTGTAGAAAGCAAGAAAAAAAATAGTAGAGTCAACGTTCAATGTTATACTAACCTGCTGACACTAGATATCCTTTAAGCCACCTTGGTTGAACGTTCCATGAACAAAAAACCAACAACAGACTAATACTGTTAGGCCTATGTTCAGAGGTAAATTTGCAGCAATAATGAAAAGCATTTCTAGAAACACCGTTCAATCACATCAAGGCACAAGATTCTGTAATTCTTCAACTATTCTGGCATTCAAGAAAGCAAAAACAAACAATTAATGTTCAAATTCTACAATTAAACCATCCACAATCAGAATTAATTTCAACAACAAAACATTCTAAGATTTCACAACATACATGTAAATATTAAACTTATACCTGACATCCCAACATTCAGATCACACTGAGGAGAGGCTTGTGAATTGTTAGATGGTCTCCCCTGAGAATGTAGACAACTGACTATTTTTTTCACCTCTAGTGTGAGGGAACTAAATCAAAATTGCAAAAAAAAACAAGTTCCAACATTTGTAAAAATTATTGTAAATTTTCTTCCTTGCTTAAAGCCATATAGAAAAAAGAAATATTTGTGTCAAGGAATATACTCTCAACAACTATAAATACATGTCACAAATATGAGTAAAATATTTTACAGAAACTTAGCATTGGGAAGGATGTACTATTTAAAAAATGAGCAGGAGTGTATTATCAGGTTTAAAAACTTGAGGGAAAGCTGAGTTTTTAAACCTGATAATACACAACTGCGAGTTTTTTGAACAGCTTCAAAATCTCTGATATAGATCAACTCATTGCTGCACTAATATTTAGATTTGGAGTTATTTTGGTCTATCAGATGTAAAGACACTCATTAAACATCAATTTATTTTATTTTTTTTCTTTATGAATTATTAATGAGTTTTTGAAAGTGTTACAAACAACTCATCTGTGCAATAATGTACACAAGATAATAAATGAGTGAGAAGAGATAAATGTACATGTAGGAGTCCTCAACTCTCTCTTGCAAATGGACAACATTTAAGAAGACCACTTTTATTTCCAATAATATTTTAATCACTTTTGTAAAGGTCCCAAAAGTGAGGCCCTGCCAGGGGGGGGGGGGGCCCGATGTGGCTTGTCTGAATTTTAAAACGTCTCATGTCGGTGTTTATAAGTTCTTTTCAGTCTTTGTTGGCTTTTTCGTCCTTGTCGCACTTGGGCCGGGGGGGGTTGTCTCTTTTCGCGTTTTATTTTTCCCCAGGGTGTGTGAGTTGGCTTGTTGAGAAAAAAATGTAAATGGAGAGACTCAGAAGCTTTCTTACAAAAGGAACACATTAAAGAAAACCCATTTTTTTTCCAATAATTTTTTTGGCACGTTGGTAAGGGTCCCAAAAGGGGTGCCCTCGGGGGGGGGGGGGGGGGTCCGATGTTGCTTGTCTGAATTTTAAAACGTCTCATGTCGGTGTTTATAAGTGCTTGTCAGTCATTGTTGGCTTTGTCGTCACTGTCGCAATTTGGCCGAGGGAGGTTGTCTCTTATCGCGATTTCATTTTACCCGCTGTCGCTACTTTTTGGCCCATGTCGCTTGTCGGAATTTATCCTGGCAGGGCCTCAAAAGTTCAAACATTAGACAGCATTATCCACTGGATAACTGTTATTAAGGAAAAACAATTGCATTGTCCTATATATGTATTATTATTCAAAACTGGTTTATCTAGTGTATAGCACTATCCACCATCTAAACAACTGGGGCCAGGTATATAAAGTGAACTGTCTAGCCACTTACAAAGTTCTCAAAAATACCTTTTTTCTTTGTTTAAAAATGTGACTTTGGTAACTTCCACTGCAAGCTCGATACTCTAAAGAAAATGGTACAAATTATTACTGAGAACATGAATCAGTTTATGGAAAATTTTGCAGATAAGAACCTTGTGCAAACCTTAAAAAACTATTAAATATTGATAAGCAAAGAACCTAACAATTTCATCATGAACATCCCCATCTCTAATTAGTGTTTAAAAATACATAAGTTGTTTTATAAGACTTCAAGTCATATGACAAATAAATTTTGGCATAATTATTACACAGCAAGTACATAACTGTGTATACAAAGTAATTTATTATTACTGACTAAAAAGAACTGTCAAGGAATTACTATAAATAAAGATTAAACAAAATTTCAAGGCTGCCAAGATGTTGTCTGGCAACACTATAAAGTTAGTCTGCTTATATGTATCTACATGTAGGGCTGTGCTTTAGCAGAGCCCAGTGCATAGTGGTGAATTACTTTGCCCGTGAGTAACCTAAAACCTGGATTACACAGGATCAGATTTCCTGGGCTCGGTTTTTTTTCTTAGAGCACAATTGTAGCCTTAGTCCTGTTACCTTTGGCATATGAGAAATCTTCTCTTGAATTTCTGCTAATGTAAAGGGCTTTGCCGCAGCTATTGGATTCACTTTCGTTTCCTCTTGAATGTTGACAGCTTGTAAATTGCTCTTTCTTTCAAGCAAACCTGAGAGGAGGAAGATAGATGTCATAGAGGTCTCACGCTTTTATGCCTTTTCCAGAACAGGAATAGTACTAAGAAAGGCCAGAAACCCTTGTCATTAAGTAGCTACTGTATTTTCAGATAATAACTTTGCACAAAAAGCATGTCTCAGTTTGTTTGCTACTACATGTAAGAGCAAACTAAAACAAAACAATGGAGTCCACAAAACTGAAGTCTGTCAGTATGAGACACCAGTTAGAATTTGTATGTTTTTACTGCGCTTTTCAAAAACACGTGAACTCTGAAGTTCAAAAGCCAACTGACATTTGCATTTTTTGCTGCCGCCAATCATCTTAGCAGACCTTTAAGGAAACAGAACTTTACTTACACGAATTCAAAAGGTCATGGTTTGTGATCTGTGATTGGTAGATTTTGATCCATTTTGTGAGTTTCTGTGTTTCAAGGTTTGTTGCTTGTGATCGTAACTGTGATTGACGGCAGCGAAAAACGCAATTATTGTTAAGGCGGCTTTTGAACTTCAGAGTTCGCGTGTTTGTGAAAAGCACAGTAAAAGTACTAAATTTCCATCAGTTTGAACACTGAAATAGACAGTTTCATTTGACAGCTCACATGCTTGGGTAATGACTTGCAACAGTGGTCTTTATTATGACTGTACAACATATACATTGACTGCATCTCAGTACTAATTTTCTAAAATATACACAATGTTCATTACTCTATTATGATGACAGAATTTTATAATGATGATACATGTAGCAAGTTTGAAGGATCAACTGAAGGACTAAAACAGCCATTGCTCACCCTCGGAAAGCAAAATATCTACATTCTTGATATTTACAGTTGCACTCTATAATGAAAGGAGAGAAAAGGACTTTATCAGTAATTTGCATAATAGTAATAAAAACAATAATAACAATAACAACAACTTATTATTATTTCTTAGAAACTGTGTATGAAGAACCTCATTTCAGAATGGCCAATTTATCAACCTACATGTACTTCAAAAGTAAATTAAGTTGAGTTAGCATGCATGAAGCTGACCCCAAGAAGCTTACAATCATGCATGATACATGTACCAAGAAATCTGTTAATAGGATTTACAATGCACTGTGAGACAAAACGTCCAGAACTGAAGAATAACCAATCACAGCATCTTCTGGGTTTTTTTTATGTAGTTTTTGCTATTGTTGTTTTTTTATTTTCAGTTTGTTCCAGTTTATTATTGTTTTCACTATTAAACAATTGCTATAATTGAGACAAAAATTTGCTAGCAAATTTTTCCAACAGCTTTTTTAAAAGCTGTAGGAAATTAAAATCCTTGTTGAATTTGTTATTCTTGCTATATTTGGTATTAACTTCCATACATTTCTGCAAGCAATTTCCTTTAACTCTCTTCTCGCTAAAACTGCAAAAAGAAATTGCTACCAATTATGTGTACCAGAATACACATAATGCCATCTTTTATTTTATTTGTTTTATTAATAATCTGTTATATACATCCCAAGTTTACCTCTAGCTTGAAGCTTTCTAAAGGAACAACAGAAATTTCCATAAGAAGTGAACATGACAGTTCTGCAAAAGGATCTGATGTGAAATCTGTATTACTCTAAAAAGAGAGAAATCAACTATTAATTTGTTTATTCACATGTCCATGTCAACAGTGAAAGAAAAGTAACGTTAAACTTGTAGCTGGCATACACTTCATAGAAATAATTATTGGGTCATTAAAATTAGGTACAGATGTATGGATTGCATTTCTTGCATGGTGTTCACAGCAAGTAGCCTTAAAAAATACATATAACTGAACGTAAAAATAATTGATGTTAGAAGTCTGATTGTTCAAAAATTAATCAAGTGCATGCATTGTACATGCCATGTCCAATGCAATAATATTAGGCATTAGCAGTATTCTCAGTTCCTCATACCTCTATATCATTGAATAACTTTGTTCTTATCTTGGCTATTTCCAAGGTAGAAGACAAACTGAAACAGCAACAAGAAGCAAAAATCCATTAAGAGATTAGACTAAAATTAAGGACATTAGCACAAAACAGAAGACAGTGTTAAATCTACAGAGGGAGTAAAAGTTACTTCAAAATAACAGTAAAGATTTCTAACATTTTTTTAAAAGACTTTCCTGATCTGTACAAAAACTGTTAGAGGCATTATACATGCACTGAATTAATATCATTATGTGCATGACAGTAAACATTCAACACAGCATTTCATCTGAACTGCAGACACCTCAGAGTCCAATACATAACCTAAATGTTTTTCTACAGGACATGTTCCCCTTACCATTTATTATCAGGCCTAGCAAAGAAGTGTAGTCCATCAGGAAGAAAGCATTGAGTTTGTGGGCCATGTTTGTTTCTAATGATAAGTTGGACACTGGACACCTGAATACCCACATACTGTTTCAAAATCAGAAAAATACATTCAAACTGTAAGTATTTACTATTTAACTATTTCTTTGGGTTGCAATACTGCTATACTGTACCACTTACTTCAAAAGTCAACTTCAACTTTAAACTTGAAGCACATGAACATTGTACAGTGTACAATTTATAATACAACATGCAGAAATGCTCACTGTAAAAAAAATTTCTTAATTATCTTGGTACATCCAACATCATTTATTTCATGAGTCAGTTTTTACTTTACAAATATCCATGAGTCACAAAATAAAAATTACAGAGTTTGAGAAAAAAAGTTTGAATCTAGCAATACTCCAAACATCCACATGAAGCTTAAGTTTTCCTGACCAATCTGGAGAAAATGTTGTATCAAACTTTTTTGTACTTACAGTATATATAACATTGTACTTAATATCACAGAGCATCTGATAGTAAAGTAACAAGTGAAGCCTTAACAAACCTGGCAGCATTTTCTTAAAAGTCTTGAGATAGTTTTTTTATGTTTCACCGCTGAAAAGGTAACAATAAAGAAAGACAGTGCTTCACTGACTTCACTAATCAGGTTGTCTAAAAAACTTTCAAAACAATATTACTGCACAAATTACAGTATGTATACACCACTATTTGTATCTCATATTGTGTGCATGCATAAGTATAACCCCTACTTCAGATCCAGCTAATAGCCCACTTCTGAGTTTCAAAAACCCTCACTTTCAAAATGAGGCCAAGTGCAAAACCTTTCTTGTAAAAATTAGTTTTATTTGCATGAGAATGAAAAATCATTTCCATATCAGAGGCTGAGCACTTAACCTCATTTTGATACAGACACTGGGAGGAACTTGAAAAGGGCCTATTAGCAAGACCCTCTTAATAAAGGCATTCAACAAAAAAGTGCTTCTTTTGACATTATTTATTATTTTCTACACAAGATGTAAAAAGTAGATAACAAGGCCATATGCAACCCTGCCTAACAAGCACCCCATTTTTACAACCACTTCTTTGTTAAAATCACACTATTTGATTGAAACTTAAAAACACTCAGTCAATTTGATTTCTATAAACCTTATTAATATGATTACTATAATTCAGGAAACCAAAAGTGGTAATATTCATGGGGTTCAACGTATATGTTGTGGTTCAATTTTATCCTTTGTTTTATGGGTATGGTAATGTGTGATAATGAGTTTGAAACAAAGGAGAATGAAATTTAACCCTTTAAACCCTAAGATCAAAATTGAGATTCTCATTTACTGTCCCTATACTTTTTCAATAGAAGTAATGGGGAGAATTTGTTGAAGTATCAATTAGACTCATCTTCCCTGATCATATTACTCAATTCTCATGACCACTCTGTTTTCTAAAGCATTGATATTATAAGGAGAAATTTGATGCCGATCACTCTTAGGGCTTAAAGGGTTAAACCAAGGATAAAATTGAACCACAACATATACATCGCAAATGATGAAGCTCACCAAAGTTTTTTGATGATCTTTGCCTTGCTACCTGATCCACTTGGCTTTTATTCTCATTATTCCCTTTCTTTATTTCTACAACAACACCTTTACATAACACTGTAAATAGTCTCCTACAAAGCAAGTCACATTTTGTAAATGAGTTCACATCTTTATGCACAGAATCATTAAGTGGTCATACTGTAGTTGACACTACAGCTACCCCCGCTCTGTCAGTTGTTGTCAATTGTATTCTTGTTCTTTGTGTAGCTCTTTGAGATATACCAATTCATATTCAAGATTTTTGCACATATTCCATACAATAGGTGAGATACAAAACAGGAAATTCAAGATTTCATGCACTAATTTAGGTTGATTTGCACAGGTTTGATCAAAACATTCTCAGTTTCCATAATTTTTCTTATAAAAGAACAAGAAAAGATTTGATTAGAGGTGGTAATTTATCCCATATTTTCTTGCATTTTTTACATACAATTTGTTTTAATAGCTAGAAATTAAGCCTTAGAAATATAAAGTTTGATTAATTCACATTTACATTCTAGTCCTTTTATTAACTATTACATAGCTTTAAAAAAAAGGCTTCAAAGACGGACATCTATGAGCAGGGAAAACATCAGCACAGAATTTAATTGTCAGCGAATTTCTGTAATGGTTTATTGTTCTGCCCATAAGCTAGCTTGATTCACTCGATTGCCCGAATTGCTTGATTGTGGACCGAGTCTTATTCCCCCAAAGTGAGTTGAGTCTCACTGGCAAATCATTTCCAATAAAGCATGATGTGAATGATAAACTTGTGTCTGGTAAACCCTCCAAGTGCAGTGGTTACACACAGTTACATGCCCTTTATACCTTTATCTGTGCTTAACAAGTATCTTTCAGTCCATATCTTTCAAAACAGCTGCTCCAAAGAATGTCACTGAACACACGTAACACAAAAGAGTATCGAAGTTTAACTGTACCGTTAAGTGTCACAAAATCAACATACCCGGTAAGCTGTCCCTTTGAACATATTCTGTTTTATGTCATCCTAACCATTTCTTACTTGCGTCATGTGCACAGTTGAACCGTTATGATAACCCAACGATTTTTTGTCGTATACTGACTGCACACTTCAACTGTAATTACTTTCCTATTTAACAATATTATTCCTTGAGCCCAAAAATCCAACTAGTTGGTCAAAAATATTGAATCAAAACAACTTAAGCTACCAAAACAAGATTCAGCCACCACTGTTTTCGTTTTCAAAGCTGGTGCTTTTCACTACTAGTGGGCTATAACATATAGCCTAGTAGTAGCTCAACCAATCAAAAATGCAGCACTGATAATAGACCACTAGTTGGATTTTACAAAATATGTATACATGCGCGAGCTACTAGGATGCCTCCTTGGGATTTTGCCTTTTGGGTGAAATCCCTGCAGGGGCAATAACAATGGGCAGATTAAAAACACAACAAAATCATTCTATAGAAATTTTTTAAAACATAAAAACTTACTTTGAATCACTCAGAGTCCACTTGCAGTGTAAACATATTTTTTCTATTTCCTATTGATTTGAGGTAATTACAGCAACTGTAAGCTACTTAATAGTACATTTTTAATAATTTATCATATAAAGATCTATCATCTTTCCTTTCTTCTCTGAACAGCCTTCCCTCCCCTATATTCATTCATATACTTCTTAGCTATCCCTTTTTCCTGACATGCTTCCTTCCCCTCTACTTTTCTCTTACTTCTTTTCTCCTCCCTTTCTTATTCCTTCATTTTTTCCCACCCACTCTTCCAGTCCCACTCTCTTTTTTCACAAACATTATTCATTCCTTCTTTCCTAAATTCAACCACTTCTTCCTCAAATTATTCCACATCATAACACATTTGCCCACTTTTTAAATTAATTGGCTGTTCTTTTTGCATCCTCTTCCTTTTGCAACCTCAGCCTTCTTGTTAAACTACAAAAGCCCCTGAAAATTACCACAACAAATAACAGCATGAAGGTTTTCAACTTACAATTTTAACCCCATTTCTTAATGTAATCTCAATACCACTTAAAGCAAATAAGCCAAGGGCATCAAGCTTAAGATCCAAGTGCAAGAAATATTGAGCAGCAATTTCAACTAACCAGGCAAAAAATCTAGAAACAAAGTGAAAATACATACATTTTAAAAATTATCCCCAGTTAGTAGCAGTAAGAGATCTGGTCCCAGTTGTTCAAACATTGGATTAAGCACTATCCACGGGATAAAAATCTGACCAGTGGATAACGCAATCGTTTTCCTTAATACTTATCCCCTGGATAGTGATTTATCCGGTGGGTAGCGCTATCCAATGTTTGAACAACCAGGGCCTGGATAATAGAAGTAGCTGAAAAACAGCTGGTCATAGAAAGTGAAAATCCATTGAAATATGAAAATAATTTTTTTTGCATTTTTTCTTCACCAGTGTCTATGTTACAGGTCAAAATTAAATTCGAGTTAAAATTTTTTATTAAACCTTAACCTAGGTTGATTCTCAAATTCTTTTATCTCCTAGCCCCATTACTCCTGTTTAAGGGCTAGGACACAAAGGGCATTGAGAATCAACCTACTTAAAAATTTTTTTATCTGAATTCAATTTTGACCTGTAACATCTATAAAATATAAGCTATGATCTTCTGAAATGAGTTTTGAAGCTTTGTGGGTTTTTTGTGACCAATGAAAAGTAATGCCATACAAAGTTAACAAGAAATACGTAGTTGAAAATATGCATCATTACTGGGGAATCAGCGAAAAATAAGCTTATGAGCCTAACAAGAAATATACCTCAAGTAAGGAAACAATGAAAAAATGGCTCTTAGACTTGATAAGGTGAAAGAAAAAAGTAGTATGTGTCAATTATTTTGCCAGATTGTATTATAATCAATGGTTAAAACCAAGTATGTATTGTTATATATTGTTTTTACTACTATTGCAGAGGCTAAAACCTTCCCACAACATCGCGTAAAAGTCATGCGGTACAAGGAAAACTAATTGCAACTACACACAAACCCCAAAATCATCTAAACGAATTTTATAGAAAAACTTAGTATTCTTCCTAAAGTGTTCAAAGCTTGATTATATTGGAGCTTGGTGGTTTTAAATTATTTTTCTTTAATTAAGCTTTGTGGTTTGTGCTAGTGGGGCTGAGGTTGTCAGCTGCCACTGCAAAGTTGTGCGAATTAAGCAAACGCTACTCAGATCCTGCAGCTTTTCCATGCAATATTAAAACTACAGTAATTTATCAGATAATCGATTTATAAATATTGGGTGTTAACACAGTTAAATTGTAATTGTTTTTTAGATACGATCATCGTTACCATAACTCTTTACAAAGTTTAACAAAAAATAAAACCAAGCCATAAAAAAAATATCGATCACGAAGAAACAACAAGTTCAGGCAAAATTTGTCCATCGATTGTGTACATCATAACGCACCTTCCAAAGAAGATAGCCACCAAAAGAAGAAGGAGAATTATCCCCAAGCTATAAAGCAGTATCATAATAAAGCATGTCTAATAAATAGCACCTCCGAGCCCTTCAAAATTTAAATTCTGCGACCGCCATATTGTTTTGATAAGGTGCGCAGTCCCATTTTGCGCATAAGAATAACGAAATACCCGCTGAGTGCACAACGGCGCAACTGTTTTGTAATCTTCCTCGATATCTTTCCCAATTCATCCAAGATGGCGGACGAGGTGTTGTGGAAAAACGTCTATTCAAACAATACCAAAGCGGACTTCTCTGGTTTCTTAAAAGCTTTAGATGTATGGATAGAAAAACCACATGTTATCAATCGACGTCTTATGGGTGCGCTTATTGTAAAGAAAGCACCTTTTGAGCATTTGACAGAAAAAGATCTTGCGTGTTTTTTTGCTGATCAGAGGCAACAACTGCTACATACACAATCGCTACAAGGGAGCTTTGCCAGTGATACATCGAAAAAATCAGAAATCGGAGAAAAAATATGTTTAAGTAAGGGGGAAACTGATATATTCGAAATTCCAGGAAAGGATTCTTTTACAGATCCAGCAGATGATGAGGAAGGAAATTCGATTACACTCAGAAAATTGTTACCTCGACAGCTCGATAAGAGAGATCCAATTTTTGAATTGGTATTTATAGGTAAGAAGTATTGTAACATTTAACACGTTGGTAAGATTTCCTTACAACCCCATAGATTTATTATGCATGTAGCAATTTCATACTATTTCTTGAGGCGAAAAATGTTTTTTTTTTAGGTCAATTGTTCAGCCCCCCTAGTCCTATTGCTACAAATACATCCAAGAGTAAATAAAAGAGCTATCATCATCATGATGATCTATCATTGTCGTTATCATTATTATTATAATCATTGTTATTGGAAACTGAACATTACATCGCTATCTCAGTCACTTGACCACGGTAAAGTCTTTAGTCATACTCAACTAATCCTGCTGTTAGTGTTATTGGTCAGTCAAAAATAACAATGATTATCATTATTTTAAGTACAATTTATAATAATTTTGTTTTCATGGTGACAACAATGTCTCTTATTATTTATTATTTTCAGAAAAAAGTGATAGGAGAGTTTACTTTTTTCCTCTTTCACCTAAAGTGTTGGAGAAAGATAAGTACCAGGATTGGTTAAGCGAATCAGAGTCATATTGCCTTTTTTATGAGCCTCTTGCTGAAGAAAACCTTGCAAGGTAAAATCCCTTGAAAGTTACCTTTTTTACAACTGTGCTCTATCACTTGTGGCCAGTGACTATAAGACTGCAATGAGTTAGTCTCTCTCTTTGAGCCATTACAGAACAATGGTTTGGGTAGAGAATTCGTACATTACAAGGAGGTGATTTTTGGGACTAGCTGCCAAGCATTAGCCTCTGAACCTGAAGGCCAAGACGGATAATACCCTCCAAGATCTGCATAAGTATTCTTCAGATCATACAAAAGCAGAAACCAATAATAAATAATATATTTTATTATCATTATTCAGTGAAACATACATACCACGATGGATGTCATGTCTGTCTTTATTTGTCTGTTCCTCGGCAAATTAAGGATATAAAGGGATGTTAAGCTTAGCAGATTTTCTTCAAATAGCAGTTGTCATCTATTGACTTGTATTCTGGCTGTTCTCACTATGATTTTAGGCAGAAGTGCGGCTATTTCTTCTTTGCAAATAGTGTGAATTTTTCCACCATTTTCTTCAGCTGTACAAAAGCAACCAAACTAATACTACATCATTTCCGTGGGCTCCTTGTTACCATCCCTTTTTTTCTGGCATTAGCCTATACTGTTGACATCATTTTATCAGATATGGTAAGCATCTTCCAAATTTGGTCAACAGTAGCTGGTAACGCAGTAATTTTAGCCAGGGGATTTGAGGTAATTTGAAACAAAGAAATATTTTGAATTAGTTATAATTACTATGTGATATATCACACACATTCTTCACCATGTGAGAAGACAAGAACTGGAATTTCTAACTCACTTTATTAATCTCAGTGTGATTACTGGTAATTGGTGATATCATTTTTAACATATTTGTTATGTTTTGCCCTTAAGAGTGTCACTACTTCTGAGGGACGATAAAACAACTGTTAATGATGGTAGAAGAGATGGTGTGTTATGTCCCACAATTCAGTGGTTGCAAGATCACTTACTTCCTAAACTCTGCAAGTGGGCAGAGGAAATACAACCAGAGGGTAAAAGCAGCAAAGGGTCACTCAGACTTGTCCCTCTTGATCAGTACACTCTGTTATATCACAGATTAAAACAAGATTATGGTGAAAAGCTTGTTAAGGTATCAAGGTGTATGTTCTTAAACTACCAGTAAAACTCTTATCTTGATATGGAAGGTAAAATAAAGGCCATTCTTTTCTGTGAGATACTGCGTCCAAAATACTGAAGTATCTGTTAAAAGTTGTTTAGAACCTACAAAAACAGAACTAAAAAATAACCTTTGTCTCGTGAGTTTTGTCTTTATTTTTTTTAGTTGGGTACACTGGTTGTATTTTGTACCTAGCTGCTGTCATCTTTTCCAAGATAATGGTTTGTCCAAGTATGGAAATTAAAGGGGTTGTGTCACGCCAGTCCAGTTCATTTTGCCAATTACTCGCCCTCAATCGCTACAGAACTTAAAGTAAGCAAAGAAATTACATGTAAGTGACAAAATCAGAGATCTGTGACAAACAAATATGTCTCCTGAGCATTATTTTTGAAGTTGCAAGCAGCAGGGACCAACTTTGAAAAACTGTTAGGCTGAACAGTTTTCAAAAACCCTAATTTTGATCTGTTTCAATCTTCTTCAGTTTTGCCCATCCATGGCAGCTGTTGTATCTGTTGTGTTATTTTAACCTTCCTTTAAAGTTTTAAGTGGTTATTTTTATGTTTCTCTTAATTTAATGGGCATTTTGTGATTTCCTAATTTGGCTGAATTTCGTGACACAGCTCCTTTAATATTTATCCATCCCTGGCATAATAACTTTGTCACAGTTTACTTCAGACGAAATACATAGGGTGGACTCATTTGTAGCGTACATGTATAGCAATAACATTTACTCCTTGGAAACATTTTTGTTGTTGTTCATTATGAGCTTGAAAACAATATAAAATTCCAATAGAGAAATGTCACAGCTAGATGCATATACTGCAAATGAATCCACCCATTGTTGTAAGTTATAATATTACTTACAACTATGGATGGATATCATATGTTTACACAGTTTCCTCTTTCTCTAGATCTGGCCTGAGAGGACAGATCCTCAAAAGTTTGTTTATGAAGATATTGCTATAGCTTCATACTTGTTGGTAAGCAACTAAACAGTTAATTTAGTTACCCTCACAATGACATCAATGAGAGGTGGTCTTAAGGGAATTGATGAGTGAAGTATCTAAATAATTTGTGATTGTTTCTGATTTGTAACCACATATAAACTAAAGTGTTAACAAGCTGGAACATTATTATCAAGCTAATTCCACCACTTAGGGTGGCAGTAAAAACTATGAAAAACTGGTACACAATAAAAAAAAAATCACTTTTGAAATTTTGGTACTTTGTCCTTTTTTGCCTGAATTGATATTTAAACAGTCCTTCAACTTGGCTTGGGTTGATGAAAATCATTGATCTATATGAAATTGTCCAATTTACACTTCAACCTCATTTCACAGTGAGTGCTAGTGGAAGACAAGGATACAAAATATGCAGTTTGGTATCTAATCTGTGTTGTAAATTGATTTCCTGTAGGTTCTTTGGGAAGAAGAGAGAAGAAAATTAAACCTAGAATTAAAACAGAGTTTTGTTGACCTTGGATGTGGAAATGGCTTGCTTGTCCATATACTCAGCGAAGAGGGGGTAAAGCTGAAGTTTTGGGTTGTTTGGTAACCAGTGCTTATATATTAAATGAATGGTCTGCCAAAGTGTCAATAGTCAATAATATTTACCACATTTTGAAGTTATTAATACAGGAAATGACAGTGCTTTTGGATGTTGTTGAAACAATGTAATAGAGAAGGTGGTACATGCAAAATACGTGACTTCTCTAATGTAACTGGCAGTTCCCAACATTAGTTCACCTTCCTCTTAGCTTTATACACCAATTTCAATTAAGGTTGCTTTGGTAAAGAATGATGCATGATCCCTGCATGATCCATGTTTCATAGCGCACGGTGCATTATGGGAGCAATGGCGACCCTAGAAACCCAGACAGCAGGCGCTACTGACTCTACTACACTATGTCAGCAGAATGCTAAAACAAAGTATTTCAAAACACTGAAACAGAGGCCTTTGGCAGTTGCTGCTTTTTAAGACAGTGATTTTTGCGTAGCTTTTGCTCTGTGGTAATATGGAAATGCTGCAAATTTTCGACGAGTTTGCTTTGCTCATGCACGGGGCATGCACGTGGAAATTTTAGATGGAGTTTTAGAAAATCGTATAAACATAACAACTTTCTTTAATTTTCCAGACATGTTTCGACGGTACATCCGTCATCTTCAGTGTTACATATTTTGAAATCGCCGTTGAATTTTGTTTTAGAAAACAAATTCAAGGCATCTGTTGAATAATAAATAACTTAACATTACGGGTTTATTTATTTTTAGGCATTTTTTTAAAACAGAGGATAAAAAAGAATATTGTTGATTTGTTTCATTGAAATAACCAGCATGTGGCCCAGACACGCAGCTTAAAGAAGCGGTATATATTTCTGCAGGGGCGGATCCAGGATTTTTTTTAGGAGGGGGTGCACTCGTCTCTTGCTCTACTTCAACACCAATAAACCACATAGTTTTTTTTTTTTTTTTGCAGAATACCAGTTGTATTAGAAAACCGCAGGTCATCTCGGGGGGGGGGGGGTGCACACCCCCGGCCCCCCCCCCCTAGATCCGCCCCTATTCATCAGTCGTGCTGTTCTCAGTTAGTTTTTACAAAACAAGGGAGAAGAAAGAAAATTTCCAAGCGTCATCCTTAAATAAGTGCTATGTCAACAAGATGAAAACGTTTTTGCGAATGCTTCAGTGCTTCTACAGTAAAAA